GGAGGGGGCGGTGGGAGAGAGAGGACAGGAGAGTAGGTGCTCACACCGGCCTGGGGCAGAAGCCAGCCCGGTGCCCTCCGCAGCTGCACCAGCAAGCTGCCGTTCGCGGGAGCACCGGAGCCTTCATTTTACCCAGAGGAACAACAGAATACTTTTTCTTAAAGACGACACATAGAAGCCGTTTCTGTCGCGTCTGCAAGCTACAGACGGGCAGCCCCTGGCTGAGGAGGTTGCCCTGAAAGCATCGGGATGCTCTTTCTTGGATGTTGGTAGAAGTTGGAGGGAGAGGGCAGTCAGCTTTCCAAAAATAATGTTAAGGCCACATTTCAAAAAGGAGAAACCTAAGGCTTTTTGGGGGTCGGTGGGGGAAGCAGGGGAGGAGAAGCAAGTGGGAGGGAAATGAGGATGGAGCAGAGATGGTGTGCAGGAAGTGGGGGGGGTGCCAGGGGCAGAACCTGCTTTCCTGGGGACTCCGGGGGGAGAGGCAGTTGGAGTGTTCCCAGCCAGGGGGAGGGGAGGGGAGGGGAGGGGAGGGCCGCGCCGCCTTCTCCCTGCGGGCTTGGTGAGGGCAGAACCAAAGACAACGTGAGGGGTAGACACAGGTGGCGCATGAAAGCCCTCCTCGGTCTTAAGAGGGGTCTACACAGTATCTTGTTTGTAAGGTAAAACAAACAAAAAAGCCCAAACTTCCGAGAGAAACAGACGGAGGGAGAGAAATTTGCATAGATTGTACATTCAGCTCCAGCACATTTGGGACACCTAATTATTTCCCCCCCCCTCCCCAGGTAAACTTCTCAGCAGACACAATGAGGTAGCGCCTGTGGTAGACCCATGGGCAAAAAGTAAGGTAACTGAGTTGAAGAGGGTGTCCTGTGAGCCAGCACAGCTCCAACAGAGTGTCCAAGACATGTGCTAAGACGGCTGCTCAAACCTGGGGCTGTTTGACACACCCCTCCCTCCCCGGCCCCTGTCTTTGTCACCTCCGCCTGGGCAGGCTGGAATTCTGGAAGGTATGGGCCTCCTTAGGTCAGGTCTCCAAATTCTTTTTTTTTTTTTTTTTTAAGCACCATCTTGGGACCAGGCCAGCCTCACAAGCCAGTTCTTCTGGGACCCTTCTCCTCCGTGGGACCGTCTCTTCGGGGTGGAATGACCGGTAAGAGGTTCGTGTTCTTGCTTCAGAGCAATCGGCGAAATGAGCTATAATCTTTGCCCCTTCCTACTGGTGGCTCATTTCCTCCTCCACCAGGGCACTGCCTGACCTCCTCGCAAACCATCTCTCCAGAGAGCAGAGGTGGTTGGCCGTGCACGGGATGAACTATGGAATTTCTCTTTGCCCACACTCAAAACTGAAAAAAACCCATAAAACAAAAACACATGGTTGACACTTAAAAATCAAATTTCCTATGAAAATCTGGATCTCTGGCTTCCTTTACCAAATTGGAAGATTCTGCAGGCTCACTTGCAAAGACGGGCTGCTGTCTTTGGGTGGGCCATGCGCACAGACCCCAGTCCCCACCACTCCCAATTGTCTTATGCCAACCATGTTAAGCATTTGTGACCCCTACCACAGAGTGTGGCTTTGACCTAACAGGGTTTGGCCAACAGCTGTTCCTAGTATACCTCCCTTGGGTGCTGTTGGGGGGGCTTGTGTCCTGAGTCCCCGGTGGACTTTGCTGTGTAAGGGGTCTTGGCTCAAGCCCCACCTTCCACAGCTGCTTCCCTCTACTCTGCACCTTCCTGGCAAAGAGATGGAGGTTCCAGCCCATGTCCTCCTTGTACTTGTCAACCAGGGAGCCTGAAGGCAGCAGGTCCACCCAACCCAGGCATGTGCCCAGAGAGGTGCAATGCGCCCCTTTTGGGGACTAGGGTGGTCTTGCTTGTCCTGAGGGCACTGGCATCTTAAACTAGCAAGGGGGAAATGAAGCCTGAATGACTCCTGATCTGACCAGAAAGGTCTTTTTCCAAAGGGAGGTAAGGGCCCCCTTGTTAAATATGGGGTCTGTGCATTGCTTGCGTCCTTGAGGGAGACTGCTTTGCGCCTGGCCTGGGCTGTGGGAGTCGGGAAGACAGGCAGCCGCCTGAGCGTCACTGGATGGGCTGGCTGGGAAATGACACCGGGTGCCACAGCCTCTTGAATGCTTCCTTCTCCCCAGACTGCCCTCAGGCTCCTGGTCAGGGGGCCAGGCTTCAGGCTGTAACCCGGGTTCATCTCCTGTGGTTGGGTCCCACAGCCAGAACTCACGGCTGCCTGCCCTAGTGCCCTTTCCCGAATCACTCACTCTCAGGCCGATGAAGTTCAGCTGTTATTGTGTCCCCTGGGAAAACATCACCCTTTCTCAAATCCTCTTGGGCTTTGTTTGGAAATTTTTGTTTTTAATAGCAACGTTATTCCCTGGTCCAAAACCCAGAGATCTTTACAGAAACACGGGGTGTGACTGACTGGCTTCTGAATTCCTTGCTGTGAGCGGGGGTGGGGAGGGGAGATGGTGCCCAGAGTAGACCATCTCTGCTTCTTCTTGGGGGGGGGGATATCAGCATTGTCATGGGTGCAGGGAGGGGTCTGCAGGCACACACACCAGACCCAGGTCTGAGCCCTGCACAGGACACGGTGGAAACCACGGGACTCCTAGCAGTCTGGCCAGGAGGGTAAAGAGGAAGGCTCCCTGGGTGGGCTGGGGCAGAAAGGGGTGGTGGCACGGGCTGGCTGGGCTCCTAGAGTTTGCAAGTTCATGGAGGGATGATCCGGGTTTTCTCAGCAAGGTCCTCCGAGGTCTCTGGAGCCCCTGGTGACCATGGCTAGCTCTGGGCTCAGTACGACCATTCCCCGTCTTCGTAAACTGGCTTTCTCTCCCTCTCAGGCTTGGAAGGGGGTCCTCTCCCTCCACCCGAGTCATGAGCATGTCTTGTCCCTGTGCCTGCCGTGGGCAGCAGGGATGGCTCAGGAATTCCAGCCCCACGGGGACCAGAGAACCCGCCGAGGCTCCCTCCTACCTGAGGAAAAAGTAAGGCTCCAGTGTCCCCAGGGGTACCCCGCTTTCAGCCAGCGGATGATGCTGGTGCAAGCATTCTCCTCGTGGTGTCCAACACCCCTGCTTTCCTCTGAGGACATGGAGAATGTGGGGCAGACAGGAGAGAGACAGACACTGGGGGTGGGGAGGGGGGGCCTTTCGTGAATAAAGGCAGCTTCAGTTAGTAAGAGACGTAACTGACAAGCTGCAAAAGCAGCACCTACTCATTAGTCATTGACTAAACCATAGAAATAATAAATACCGAAAGTGTCCCTCCTCCAGACCCTCCCTGGCCCCTAGGACATGCGGCCTGGCGGGACTGTGGGGTGAGCGTGGAGCGGTCAGGAGGGACTGAAGTACCTTCATACCCACGCTGCCCAGAAACACAAGGATGGGCCCTCCAGGGCAGGGCCGCTAGCAACCGGGGGTGGGCCTTGGCCAAGGAAAGCCTGTCCTGGAGGAGGGGGGGGGGGGGCGAGGGGAGGCTAGAATTGGAGAAGGAAGGGGCCTCGGGATGGGCTCTCCAGCGGAGCAGGGCTGGCCCTCCGAGGCACACAGCAAGGACACATTTCAGGTTTATGGCAACTCAAGCAGTTGGAAGAACACTATTGTTTAGGCTTAAACCGCTCTGATGCTCAAGCTTCTAGCTTTCACATGGCATAGCAGAGGGGCCTGCTGGCACCTTGGAGAAGGAAGGGCATGAATTTAAAAACCAAATCTGAAATGCTTGTGCCTGGATGTGAAAAGCCTGGTCACTTCCCTACAGCACCAGGGGGGGTGGGGGTGGGGGGGCAATTCCCAAAGGTCTGGAGTGCCCAACTTCGGAGCGCAAGGGCTCAGGCAGGGGGCGGGTATTGCTGTGCTGTCCAGCTCAGGAGTTGGCTCCAAACCATCTCTGAGCTTCATGGCCATCGTCCCCAGAGTTCTCCCGGCCCCTGAATGGCTGGGAGATTTGATGCTCATACCCCTGAACCTCATCCCATTGATGCCACCTCAGGGGGCAGTCTGGAGGGAGGCTGGCCTGGACCGCAGACTTTGGGGAACCTCGGCCATGTCCCATCAAAAAGCTATCCCGTTAGTAAGGAGGACAACTCACCGGACAAGGGCTGGCGGAAGGCTCAGCCAGTCCCCTTTCCCTGCTCAGGAGCAGGAAGATGAGCCCAAGGGTGGGGCTGGAAATCAAGCCCACACTCTGGGCAGTGCTTTTCATATGGGGTTTTGCAGAGCCCTTGGGTTCTGGGGAGGTACCTCAGGAGGTGCCCCGGGCAAAGGGACTGCCCACTGGGCTGAGCGTTGAGGAAAAAAAACCTCAGACTCCCCAGCTTCAACCAGAGCAGCCTGGATTTCAACCACACCTTGAACTTCTGCCTCCACCTCTGCTTAGTAAACAAAATTCTGCTGCTCAAAATAAAAGTTGGAGAATCACTTGACTGGGGGGATTGGGTCACCGAGGGGGAGGACAAGGAACCTGGAGGCTTTGAGGATCAACCAGAAGAGGTAAGACCACGATGGCGCTGGGACCCAGCAAGCCTCGCCCCCAGGGGCCAGCGTGCGCAACGCGGGTCGTTGGCACCTCCACACCTTCCTTGTCCATCTTTCTGTAGCCAGGAGAGCCCCCTCGTCACAAAAGGCACCCCCGGGACTGGGGGGCCAGGGTCCGGGCGCCACCGGCCCTCGAGCTGCTTTCCCTCTGAGATCTGCTGAGGCCCACGCGGGCCCGGTGCTACCTGAGCCGGCCATCGGGTTTGACCGCCCCCAGCTCGGACTTGGGGTCGGGGCTGAAGGAGCTCCAGGCCGTCTGGCTGCAGGGCTGCATGACGGGGCAGGCACTGAGGCCTGTGGTGCAGACGTCCATGGCAGTCCACATGCCACCTACCAGAGAGTCCAGCCAGCGCTCCAGCACTGCGCCCGTGGAGGCTGCGTTCCTCCGGGCCTGCTCCACCTGGGCCGGGCTGATGGGCAGGCTGAGGACGGGGTTCAGGCTCTGGAAGCTCTGCTCCATGTAGGCGCTGCGGGGGGGCCCGCTGTGCAGCTTCAACGCCTCCTCTGAAAGCCACAGGGAACAAGGAGATGGTCAGGAGGGTCACAGAGCGCGTACCGCCCGGGACAGTCTCCTGTGGTTGACAGGAGTCAAGGGGTCGGCAGCCCCGTGGCACAGACGAGGACACAGCCTCCAGGGACACTCCCTCCACAGCCACGAGCCCACTTTGTGCAGGGCACGGTCCACACGTCTGGTCACTGAGCACAGGCTTACAGAGCAGCTCAGCAGTCCAGACCATTCATTCACTCATTCATTCATAGGTTTTCAGCACCTACTTTGTGCAAGGCATTCGTTCAACACCTACCTCTATCTGCAAGGCACTCATTCATTCATTTGCTAAAGATTAAGGGCCAGGCCCCACTCCACCTGGCGCGGAGGGAACCAGGTAAGATTACAGCCCCGCGGAGGGAGACTGAGGACAATCCACAGATAAGGTCCTTTCAGCCGGTGATCAGTAACTAACTCGAACGGACTACACTATACGCTGCGTGCAGAGTCAGAGCAAGGGCTTGGCACGCTGTGGTCCTTGGGCCAAGTCTGGCCCACCAGGTGTGGTAAGTCAAGTCTGACTAAGACACAGCTGGCAAAACCTCATTAAAGGCCTTTCTGCAAATCACAGAGCTAATGAGAGTCGCAGCCAAAGTTTGAGTCCGGGTCTTGACCTCAACCGGCTCTCTCCACAGCCCCGCTTTGCTGAGCAGCACCTCATGCGTGAGCATGCAGACGACAATCAGGGCACCTGGGTCTGAACCCACAGGGCTCACAGCCCTGGTGTGTGGCTTCCGGCGCGCCTGCTCTTTCCTTGACCATCAGAGGAGTACAGTACCTGGTACCTTAGAGCTCCGTGATGATTAAACGTGCTGATATTAAGTGCTTACAATGGCACCTGGCATTAGTACCCAACATAACTTCCACAACTCAAACCCAAATAATCCACTTAGAAGTGGGCAGAAGACATCCAGATGGCCAACAGACACATGGAAAGACGCTCGACCTCACTCATCAGCAGGGAAATGCAAACCAAAGCCGCAAGGAGGTATCACCTCACACCTGTCAGAACAGCTAAAATCAGGGGGCGCCTGGGTGGCTCATTCGTTAAGCGTCTGCCTTCGGCTCAGGTCATGATCCCAGCAACCTGGGATCGAGTCCCACATCGGGCTCCCTGCTCGGCGGGAAGCCTGCTTCTCCCTCCCCCACTCCCCCTACTTGTGTTCCCTCTCTCGCTGTGTCTCTCTCTGTCAAATAAATAAAATCTTTAATTAAAAAAAAAAGCTAAAATAAAAAAGACAGGAAACAAGTGTTGGCGAAGACGTGGAATAAAAGGAACCCTTGTGCTCTGTTGGTGGGACTGCAAGCTGGGGCAGCCACTCTGGAAAACAGTATGGAGGTGCTTCAGTTCAAAATAGAGCTACTCTAGGATCCAGCAATCGCACTACTGGGTATTTACCCAAAGAATATGAAAGCGCTAACTGCTAAACATATGTGGGCCCCTACGTTTATTGCAACATTATTTACAATAGCCAAGCTACAGAAGCAGCCCAAGTGTCCATCCATAGATGAATGGATAAAGAAGATGCGGTGTATACAGTGGAATATATACAGCGGAACAGTACTCAGTACCAACAAGAAGGAGATCTTGCCATTTACATCAACATGGACAGAGCTAGAGCGTCTAATGCTAAGTGACAAGACCATAGGATTTCACTCATGTGAAATTTAAGGAACAAAAACCAAGGAAAACAGAGATACAGGAAAAACCAGACTCTTAGATAGTGAGCTGCTGGTTGCCAGACGGGAGGTGGGCGGCAGGAGGAGTGCAAGAGGTGATGGGGGTTCAGAGTGCACTTGTCGTGATGCGCACGGGGGGATGTAAAGAATTGTCAAATCGCTATATTGTACACCGGAAACTACATCATACTGCACGTGAATTATACTATATGCACATGTGGATGGCAACTTGGCAAAGACTAAGTGCTTGGAGAAGTTTAGCCAGGATTATTAGGGTTGGTGTTATTAGTACACAACCCTTGTACACACACAAAGCCACAGGGCTGGTGTTATGCCCACTTTGCAGATGGGGAAATGGGTGGCCATCGTGCGAGACAGATCTGCGGTTAGGTTCTAGACTGGCTGAGTCCAATGCCCGTTCTTGTCCTCACGATTCTCTACTTGCGGGCCCATCCACCAACTGGAAGCTAAAAAAGCTTTTTTCCCTCTTAATTTTATTTTCATCTGGAAGCCAGTCTTTCCAAGACGTGGTTTCCCCATCTGTAAACTGGATACTCGTCCTTGTCCCAGTGAGACCCCCAGGGCTGGCAAGGGGCTCAGGAAGTTCATGTGCTCTATGAACAGTAAAGGGACACATCAAGAGGGGGCTATGACTACTTCCTGGGGCTTACAGATGGGGAAGCAGAAAGTGCACACATTTGGGCTGACGGAGAGAAGCTAGACGTTTCTATTTTGGAGAAGTTCCCTCTTACTGCCTATTTCATTGCCAAACACAAAAATAGATTTAAAAAACTTACTGGCCACTGATTTATGTGAGTTGTCAGTTTTAGCCAGTCAGCTCTGGCTCGGGTGGAGATAGCTAGGTCTCCAAGACACGTCCTTATGGGACAGTGTGGCATTCAGAAAACAGTTCCCGTTCACCTGATGGTGGCTGTCCCCCTCAGCAGCAACCAGGATAGCTCGGATAATCTGCATGCCGTTTTCGAATATGTGCGGTACTGAGTGGGGTTCAAGAAGGAGGCAGAAAGACCATACACCTGCCCTTCTTAAAGTAACCAGTGGAATTAACAACATGCCTTATAAATCTGGCCCTAGCCCACCTCTTCCTGGTGCTGGCAGGCAGGGTGGGCAGCTCCTGGACCATCTGTCCGAGAACAGAGCCTGTTCTTTCTCGAGCAGATCCTGCCTTGTCCACCGGAGCCTCTCAGTCCCTCCACATCTGCAGAGCTGGCAGTGGGGAGCTACCCAAACCCACAAAAGGCCGGACATGCAAAGTGAAAAGAGCAGCTAACAAGCATCTGAACGCGGGGAACCAAATATTGTGGCTGATGCAGAAAACCCTTATGAAAAATGAGGTTAATGTGGGAAATGCTATTACAGTATCAGCCCGTGATGCGTGCCTCTATAATTAAATTTTCCTCAATTCCACCTCATCAGATTTCTTGAGATTACCAGGGACGCATCAATAGCAAATGACTCTTGATGAATCATTTTACAAATTGCATTGCTCCCACCTTCGTGTTCCCTGTCACTGGAACACTGTTAACAGGCACACTTACTGATGGGTGGGGTGGGGGGTGCTGACCCCTGGCTCATCCTGGGCAGGGGAAGGAAGAGCCGTGCCATCTTCAGAAACTCCAAGGAGAAAAAAAAAAGCTGGAAAAATCAGGACCCAAGTGAATGGTCCCAGGGTTTTTTTCTCCCCCTGGAGTGGAGGACCGCTCCTTTGTTCTGTCTGACAGGTGTATCTGGAGCAAAGAGGAGAATGCTATTTCTATCATCCTCCTCTGCATCTGGCTTTGGGAACTCTCAGGGACGCTAAGGATGGGAAACTCATCAGGAGGGCACTTGCTCGTGCCCAGCTAGTTTTGGAGGGGGCTGTCTTTTGCCTGTTTCGCAGGGGAGAGGGGGGAGCAGACTTCCATCTCGAGAAAACATGAGGTCTGTATCTTTCTGCTTGCTCAGCACAGAAACTTAGCAGAAGTCAACAGGGTTCATGTCACACCCCCCTGTTCGGATCCCAGGCACCCCCTCCCCATGTCTTTGTTCCCTTCTCCTTAGGTCACTGGCTAAATGGCACCCAGCCCAGAACCCTTTTTACCCTAATAGAGGTTGTAATGCGTTTTTGGCTTCTGGGTTTCTGATCTGTTGGATGTAGACAGACAATTTCAAATATCAAGAGACCCAGAAATCCTGTTTCGAGGAATCTATTTTATGGATGTATCTGTATGGGCACAGACAATTTTAGATTCAAGAATCTTTGCAGTGTTATCTGTACGACCACCACCAGAAGCAGCTATCTGTCTACTCACGGGGGAGACAGGTGGATTCTGGGTCCTTAATCCAATGGAATATGAGGCAGCAGGTAGCTTTAGATACACAGACTCAGAAAGTCCAAAGAGCAAGTCTCATGACAAAATTATCACTCCATTTTCCAAAAGCCAGCAATGTGTGACTTGTTTTGTATGTTCATGTTTATGCTTTAGAAACCTCCAGAAACCTCTAGAAGGATGAATACTCAAGTGTTGGCAGTGGTTCCTGCGGGAGGTAGGACTGAGCGGGGAGGAAGACCTCTCCAGTGATCAGAGGAGGACGAGGACACAGAAAAGTGTAAGTAAATTCTTCAGATGAGAAAAGAAAAAGGCGGCGGGCGCATTAGGAATCCAACATGCCTCTCCATGCCCAGCAGGAACCACCATCCTGATTTCGTGTCAACGACTCATTTCCTCACAGCTTTCTACAGACACGAGAGTCCTGAAATCATGTACTGGTGGCTGGGCCTGCTTTTGAACTTTAAATATATGCACCCTCGTTATGACTTCTGCGATAATCCCCCTCAACGTTACGGTGTAGAGACCCATCCAAATCCGTGCACGGAGCGGAGTGGTGCTGGTGTTCCTGGCCACGCAGAGCTCCGCTGTCTGGGCAGACCCCATGGTGTCTATCCACCTGAATGTGGGCGTCTGGGCTGCTCCTGGTTTGGTGCCATTAGGAACAATTCTGCTCTAGGTCTGCACAGGTCTGTAGGGCACCCACCGAGACCTGGGATTTCTGTGCAGCACGGGTGTGTGTGGTGTGTGCATGGTGGTGCGAAGTGGGATCTCTTTTTGCTTTTCATTTGCATTTCTCTCATTATTCATGAGGCTGAGCATCCTTTTACATGTGTGTGGGCCATTTATGCGCTTTTTTTCTTTCTCCTTTGTAACAGGAGTTGGCAATCCTTTTTTTTTTTTTTATAAAGGGCCAGATAGTATTTTTGGATCTATGGGCCATGCAGTCTGCATCACAATTACTCAGGGCTGCCACTAGTCCCGAGGAAACCAAAAGCAATATGTCAATGAATGGGTGTGGCTGTGTCCCAATAAAACTTTATTTACAAAAACAGGGAGTGGGCCAGATTTGGCCTGTGGCTTGCAGTTGGCTCTGATTTATGGGATTTCTTTACATATTTTGAAGGGACTTTTTTTATGTGTAGCAAATATTTTTTTTACCAGATGTAGTGTCTTTTCTCCTAGCGTAGCATGTTTTTGATGAATAGGATTTCCTATTTTAATTATTGTTTTTAAAAAAGTGAGTAAGATTTGCTGAAACTCAGTATCTGCCTGGGTTTATTTCCCATCTTGTCTTAAATATGATCAGGGCTTTCTGGAAGTCCAGTGGGAGAGCAGGTAAGAATTAGATCCCTAATACGCAGACAGATGACATCACCTCAGCGTACGAGTAGAAAATTAGAAGGTTCTCTATGCAAACAAGCAGGAGAAAATACAGAGCAGAGAGCACTGTCCTCCGAGGCAGCCTACATGCCTCCCCCCATGTGAGTGGCACTGCCCATTGAGGAGGAGGACCCCAGAGACCCCCAGGATGGAATATTTCCCCGCAGAGACGCTGGGAGTACTCACCTGGTTTGATGGGCTGCCTGTTTGAGAAGGTCAGCGGTGCAACAAGGAATTTGGTCTCTGCAACTGGCACCCAGTGGTGAAGAATTTTCACTGTCCAGATCCCAGGCCTCAGGGGCAAGTTCAAAGGGGGCTTGTAGTGGGTGAACTCAGCAGTGGATTCAATCAGGATGTCGTAGGTGGCTGCGATGATGTTGACGGGATCCACCCAGATGACAGTCACGGTGACGTTGGGGCCCTTTCCCCATTTCTGCATGCCTACCGGCTCATCCATGGGCCCCAGGAGACCCCCAAAGTTACGGAAGAGCCGCTCCTTGGCATCCCACTCAGTGCCGACCTGAAACGAGAGCGAGTCCTCAAATCACTGAGCCTGAACTAGGGCACAGGGTCCCAGAGAGGCCTAAGATCCTGCTCATAGGAATGCATATACCCATTTTATAGTTGAGGAAACTGAGGATCCCAGTAGGTCACCTGCACAAGACTGCACAAGTAGTAGTAAGCAGAAGATTTGGGATTTGGACCCGGTCTGGGGGATTACAAGGCCTGTGGTCCGTTCATTAAATTCTCGGGCCTCCTGTGCCTGACACAGGGTTCGTGCTTTGGAAAGAAAACATACCACCTGCACTGAATGAATGAATGTCTGCTGGCAGGCCATCCCCAGGAAACGTACACCTCCCCCTCCCCCCACACACAGCAGGTACGGCTGGTTTCCACTTCAGTGCTCAGTCTTCTAGATTGGGCACCTCCATTTCGTGTGACGTTCTGAACAAGGAGGGTCCCTCAGCCCCTCCTATCAGGGCAGGAGTCCACATGGCTTTTCTAGGAAGCCCCAGCTGTGGCCTCCCCACAGCGCTCAGAGCTGGATCTCGGGGGTGGGGGGTGACTGTATGATCCATCCTTCCTGCCAGCCAGCTGGAGATGTGTCTCTGGCCGGGAGTCCGTTTTCGGCTTCCCTCCTGCTTCTGTTGCCTGCAGCGTACGGTCTAGCCAGGAGCCAGGAAGACCTTGTGAATCGTCCTCTTGCTGCTCAAATGCGCCTGTGGCTGGCGTCACTGTGCTTTCCAGGTGCCTAGCACTGGGCCTGGCACACAGCAGGTGCTCAGTATCTGTGGAATCAGCGAGTGAATGACTCTTCGGCTCACCCAGGAGGCTTCATCTGGTGTTTCTGAAGACCCAGCATGTGGGCACGCTGGTAGCGGACGACGAGCACACTCGAAGGCTCGCCGGTTCCCGTGGTCTTTCCACAACCAGCTTCTCCAATGAGTGTGCACATGTCGGGGTGAGGGACACCGGCTGTGAGGTTCCAGTGGGAGCCGGTTGACTTTCTCGTTCTTGCCACGAGGTCCTGTGTCCGTTCTTTCTCCGAGACACAGAGCTCCGTTGCTCATATTTACCCAGCGCTGAGCGCTTCGATGCACTGGCCTGCGTGACTCTCTCAGCTCCGTGAAGGGGAGACCCCGTCATTATCCTCCCATCACAGATGAGAATGCCGAGGCTCAGAGCACTTAGGTCCCTTGCTGGGGCCGGTGAGAGGCAGAGCCGGCACGGGGCCCCCAGAGGCTGTGTTCTTACCGCGTCTTCTGTATCAGCCTCTCGTTCACTCCCTCACACGTTCATCCAACACCGACGTGCCGGATGCCTGATGCCCACAGGGGATGCACACCCCCTCCCCGCCGCCGTGCGCTCCCAGGCTCCGTCTTTAGACAACAGCCTCCAGACTGGGACCGAGGAGCTGTCCCGGTGGAGCCGAGGCACTGACTGCGGTAACATTCCTGCAGGGACGGGTGGCCCTCCCAGATGGGCGGTGTTTGGGCATTTCTACCGCCCCTGCCCAGCTCCGTGGCTGCATCAGGGCAGGAAGGAAACCCGTAGCAGTTAGTGAAGAAATGAACGAGGGAGTGAGCAAGATTCCAGCTAGCCTCCGAATCTTGAGATGTCTCTGAAGAAACCCAATCCTGTCCCTTCCCTACCTGCAACCCTCTTCAGCACCTCAGGATTCTCAAGTCTGGTCTCTCACCCATCCTGTGAGGTCTGGTCCCTTTTTGTCCCACTTCATCTCAACCCCTCGCCCTCCCCTCCACTCACCCCTGCTCTGGGCCACCTGGATTACTCTCGGTGCCTCCATGAGGAGGGCGCTCTCTCGTCTCTGACCTTCCATTCGTTCCTGGCCTTCTGGCTCGAACAGTCTGCCTTTGTTTCCCCTCCCTCCTGACCAGCTTCTACTCCTCAGGCAGACCTCAGCCGAGGTGTCTCCTCTACTCAGAAGCCTTCCCCGTTAGAGGCACCACCCATCTCGGGGTTTTTTGGCACAGTATTATAAATTTTAATTTATGCATCTCTTCCCTTAGCTCAGGAGGGTCAACTCCACGAGGAGAGGGACTGTATCTGGCTTGCTCACCAGTGTATCTCTAGAGCCTAAAGCAGTGCTGATCACGTGGTGGATGCTCAGTCTCTCTCTTTCCTTCCTTCCATCCATGCATCCAACCTCTAACCACATCATGAATGATGAGGGGCTGAGCACACGGACATCCCTATGCGCCAGGCCCTCCACACACTGGCTTTCCCATAGATACTAACAAGTGGATGAATGGTCACAGAAGGAATGGGGTCCTTCTTAAAGAAGGGCTTTGTGACCAGTTAGGGGAGGCCACTCCAGAACAGTATCCTTGGATTCCCCCAAAGAAATGGGGGTGAGCAATCCTCTGAAGTCTGAGCTCTAAAACCAAGACAACCCAAGTGGAAGATCTGTGGAGCAGCTATCAACACAGAAGCTGGCTCTCATTTCCAATCCTAGGAGAGTGAGCGGAAGGCTAGATGCCACCCCCCAGTGTGCGCGGGGCTGGGGCTGCCTGAGATGGGGCCCTGCTGCTATCACACCCTCTGGGGCTTCGAGATCTTCTCATGGACTCACTGGCCACTTACTACACAGTGATCACTACTCAAACTGAAGTCCTTGTTCAAGTTCACCATGTCACTCCCCAGCTTCAAACCCACTAAAGGTCTCTCACTTGCATTTAAAATACAATCTGAGCTTTTTTCCGGGGCCTTCAAGCCCCCTCACGATCTGCCTCATCCACTTTGAGACCTCCCTTCTGCTGCCCTCCCTCTCACTCACTGTGCTCTGGCCACACTGGCCTTGCTGCTCCTTGAGTGTGCCCAGCTCCTTCCTGGAGCCTCAGGGCCTTTGCACATGCTCTTCTGCTTGGACTGCTTCAGACCTCCCCGTCACTGGCTCTTTTATAGCTTTCAGCTCTACCGTAGTTACCTCCTTAGAAAAGCTTCCCAAATGAACATCCCATTGAAAGTCGTCCCCATCGGCCTCTTCAGCCCTTGGCAATGACATCAATGAAGTTTTATGTTCTTTATAATACTTGCCATTAGCTGAAATGTTTTTGTTTATTTATTTGCTCACTCACAGGCTGACTGCCCCACCTGACTGCAGTTCCATGGCAACAAGAGCCTGACCTGTCTAGTTCACCATGGCCTCTCCTGCACTAGGGTATCGTAGCCACTTGGTGACTCTCTGCTGAAGGAACGAGCATCTTTTCTGCAGGCCACTAGCATGGGGCTCCCGTGGGAGGCAGAAGTCATTTCTGACTGCTCAGCGACACTGGCTGTCTGCTGAGAGCCAGGCCCTGAGCGGGGAGCCCTGGGGCTGTGCCACCACGAGGGGGATCCCCTGTGGTTCTTCCTTTCCCTCCTGTCCTGGTTTTCCTTAAAAACTATTAGGACTTCAGAAAAAAGTGCAGACTATAAACTTCGGGGCTCCCTGCATCACACGCTGTTACTCTGCCAGAGATCTGGGTGGTTCTCACATCAAAGTTACCAGCCCTACAGTAGGAACCCTCACAAATCACTAGGCACAGAGTGGCCACCCTCATCTGTCACTGCCAGAAGTGCCCCGTGACCCAACGGCTGGCTCATCAACAGGGACAGCCCAGCCGCCAGGCATCCATTTTGTTAATGGGACATTAATGTCTTCAACTGGCCGCCTGGGCCCCCAGCGCAGAATCCAACTGGGACAGTGTTTTAACTGCCCCCTGACGCTAGTAATTTATGGAGGCGGCTCCCATGGCAGCTTGGATCCAGCCAATCCATTTGGATCCTTAATTGAAAATGGTGGCTTCACAAGAAACCCCAGTCCGTAGGGCATAGATGGGCCAGGTGGGGCCATGGGCAGCTGGGAAGGGACTCGCATGGACCGTATAAGCAGGTGGGATACTCCCCCCCGGACACCCCCCAACTCCCAGCCCTTTTAAGAATACTTCGAGAATACTCCGTATTCTAAAACCAGACTCTTCATCCCTAACCCAGCAGCCACACTCATGGGGAATGCTGAACTCCGGGGATTAATCACCTCCTTTAGCTTCTTGCAGAGATGGGGAAGGCAGAAATCGGGTGCTGGAGGTTGGTGTGGGCCAGCCCTCACTAAGCTGGATCGTGCTTCCCTTCCGCAGCGTCTCCCCTGCCCCCAAGTGCGTGCACTCCATTCAGAAATCATATTCGGCATCTCCAGATGCCATGTGCAGGGAACACGGCAGTGAGCAAGAGGGACATGGTCCCAGCTTTCTCGGGGACAGGTGACAAGTGATTAGAGAAATTAACAAGATGATTTTGAATGGTAAATGCTACAAAAACAGTAAAATAGGTACGTGTCAAGTGGAGAATGGAGCTCTTGTGCACATGGGTGGGCAGGGAGGGCTTCTCAGAGGGTACACCATTTAGATTTAGATCAGAATAGCCAAAAAAAAAAAAAAAAAGCTAGCCCCGTGGAAGTGTGAGGCAAAGTATTTTAGGCAGCAGGAACGGCACCTGCCAAAAGGCCAGACCAGGTCTGCAGGTAGGGCTAATGTGACAAGGGTGGTGCTGGGCAAAAAAATAAAATTGCATCCTACGGATCCATGCACCCGTCCGTCTGTCTAACCACTGGCCCACCTGCCCGCCCACCTATCCATCCATCCACTCATTTCATCCAATGACTGATCTGAATAAACCCCGGCACTAGGAACTAGGGAGACAGAAGCACCATGAAGCATGAGATTTGTGGCCACAGAGACCCGGGCTTAATTTGAGCTCTTCCACTTCCTAGCTGTGATCCAGAAAAATCCCTGGCCCTCCATAGGCCTCAGCTCTCTGACCTGTAAAAGGGGACTAATGCCATTGCTTCATTAGGAAACGCGTCTGTCACGGTCTATGACCAGTAGAGGTCAGGAATCACTGGCTGGGATGAAAATTGAAGAGGAATACAGAGTCTACCGTAAAAAACAGATCATGGCTCCAGGTTGGTTCGGCCCGCTGATCCCGGCCACCCTCCGTCTCTCTCCCCCCAGCCCTGTTTAAGATCCCGGTTCCCGTGTTCGGGGCTGGAAGAGCCTCTCTAGGCACAGGGGTGCTATCTTTGGGGCTCCCCAAGTCCCCTTCCCCCCATTTCCACCGCCAAACATCAGACTGGCCAACAGAACCCAGCAGAACAGCTGGAAAAGACCATGAAAGCACGGCCTCCCACCTCGGAAAACTGGAGCCTCCCGAAGTCACTGGGCGGGCTTGCAATCTTGAAGACCTTCTTTGGCATCACCCACGTCTCCAGGGTCTCCAGTTTGCTCACGGCCAGATTGGTGGCGTGATGCTTGATCAGAAAGCCCTGGAAGCGGTCCGCAAGGAAGTAGAGGTGGACAGATGCTGGGTGGCCCATCGGGTAGTACCTGGAACACACACACACACAGTCTCACGTGAGCTCAGGGGGCAGGGCCCGAGGCGCGCAGGCTCACAACACAGCGCGCCGCCCCATCCCCACAGCAGGCCCTGTTTTATCTAGTGCTGACCACAGGCTCTTTGCACCATCCCCGAAAGCTGCTCCCTGTGCATCTCAGATCTCAGTCACCCCCAATGACTTCCTGGCTGATTATCAATGTAAAACCGCTGACTGTACAAAAGCACAATAAAGAAAATAAAAATTATTACTTCTGATGTTGCTTCCCATAGAGGATGTCAGCTCACAGATATTTACTGATCCTCCAGTGCCAAGTACTAGGAAGGGCCAATGGTGGGCCAATGATGCCATAGTGATGGATTTCCTCTCAGCCTGATTTTCTATGCATATATTTGCATAAATCTTACATGCCTGGGATCATAACATACATACTGGTTATATCCTGCTTTTTGCTTCATAGTATTTCCCGAGCATTATCACATGCCTTTGAAATGTCTCTGAAAACATGATTTTTGTGTGTGGGCACACACACTACTCCACAGTGTGCAATGACATATTTCATAGAGCAAGTTCATCATTGGATGCTTAACTTTTTTTTTTTTTTTTGGCCATTCTGAACAATGTTGCCTTAAACATCTCTGAACAAAACTATTTTGGGGGACATCTCTCCTTTTATCTTGTCTCCAACAGGCTCTCAGGTCTGCTGTCCACCTTTATCGGAAAGGTTGTACTGATTTATGTTCCCACTGTCCTCACCCACAGCACTGGATCTTATCCTTAAAATTTATTGCCCATTTGAGATACATACATACATACATACACACACACACACACACACACACAAATAGGTAGCTCGTGAAGATACATGCCTTTGATACTCCAAGTCTCGCTGGCTGAAAGGGGCAGGGAAGCTAAGCAGAGGTCACCCCGAGGAGGCGGGGAGCCAAGAGGGGAAGGTTGTGAACAGCCCCGCGCTTTGTCCTTCCTACGTGTGAATAAAAGCTGCCGGCTTCGGCAGGGTGTAAATGGCACAGCACTCAGCGGGCGCTGGTGGCCCCTCGGGGACAGGGTCCCACAAATCCCTGTCCCCCTTGGCCTTCCTTCCCTCTGGTTCCAGTCAGGAGTGGGCGTCTTTGTGTCCAATGATGATGGTGAGGGGAGCCGCCTGCCCAGGTGTACGCAGCTCCCGGCATCACTGCCTAGTTATCCGGATACCTCCCGGGCTCTGAGAAGAAAAAGCCTGCGCTTGTCTTGGGACTGCTCGCTGGGCATTTGTGGCTCACGCAAACCTGCTTCGGGGCTGGACGCTGGGAGCCGACAACCCTCCCCTCCCATCCCCGGACTGTGCTGCAGAATATTCTACCATCTGTGCCGTCCCATCCAGGAGCGACCAGCCCCTGCTGACTCCTCGTGGCTCCTGAGCACTTGAGATGAGGCTAGTGTGACTGAGCAACTGAAATTTTAGTTAATTTAAGCCTGAAGTGCCGGCTTGTGGCTGGTGGCAACGGTGGACAGCGCAGGTAAGAGTTCTGGAAGGGTCTTGTGGTGGCCTGCATTCATGTCCCCGGGTCTTCCCCTCTCCCGTCCCCACGCTGTTTTCCACCTCACTCTACGTGTCTCCGTGCGCCACTGAGGCAGTCTCGCTCTCCCTCTCAAATCTGCAGAATGTGGCGGAAGAGGAGTCACGCGGGTTCTGAGCCACGGCCTCCAGAAGTCTTGCCCATTTCTATTTGCCTTTCTGGCTCTTTTGTGACTACTGAGAGAGCATGCGTGAGTTAGCCCGCTGGAGGACAAGCCACCCCAGTTGTCCCAGCCGAAGCCATCCTAGATGCGGTGACGATTCTCAGCCAAGAATGCAGAGGACCCCCCGCCCCCGACCTGCAGCTGGCTGCAGATGCAGGAGAAGCCAGTGGAGACTGGACGCTGCCCAGCTGACCCACTAACTTGGGCACTGTGTGGATGCTTATCCAAAACTCTGATTCGAGGCTTGTTACACAGCATCGTTGCGATAGATACCCTGTCGCTGTTTGTTCTGTAAGGTGGGTGGGGTCAGTGCAGGTGGACAAAAAGCAGGAGAGCTTGTCATGGGAGTCAAAGCAAGAAAGCAGTTCCAGAAGGGAGTGGTCAGTTGTACTGGGTGCTGCTAAGGGGTCAAGTAAATGAGCCAAGGTCAAGCATTCTAGAAACCCAGGAGTTAAGGCTCTGATGGCTTGCTTTCCCTCACCTTCTGTCAAGAAATCCTGTTGTCACCACCTGCATCCAATCCTCTCTTCTCCTTATGCACTGCCAGAATCCTGGTCCAAGCCACCACTGTGCCTCACCTGGACCTTTCCAGGAGCTTCCTTACTTGTCCCTTCCTATTTCTTTGTCTACTGTCACCTATTCCTAGTAGCCATGTCCACTGTCCACTGCTTAAATACCACAAGTGGTTTGCTTCATGCTTGTGATAAAATCTAAACACCCAACCTGGTCTGCAAAGTCCTGCCTCTTTCTCTAGCCTTGTTTTGTTTCCCTTTGCCTCAAACTCCCACCTTCTAGCCACGTGGCTTTTATTTTGGATTCCTGAACATGCTAAAAGCTCATTTAGCTTTTGCACAGGATATTCTCTTTGCTGGGAATGCTCTTCTCCTTTTCCATTGCGTGTCTGGCTCTGTATTGCCATTCTGCATAAATGTTACCATCCCACGGAGTTCTTCCTTGACCACTGAATCTTACATCACCAACTCATTGCTACCACATGGCTTTACCTTCATCCTCAGCAAAGCCTTTACTCTTATTGATCTTTTGTTTCTCTTTACATGTGCTTAGGTACTGTCTTGACACTAGAATGGGAAAGCCTTGAACTCAGAGGTCTGGTCTGTCTGGGTCATGGCTGAGCGCCCAGTGACACGTGGCAGATGCTCAATCAATACATGTTGATTGGGTGAAAATTCTAGAAAGATTTTCTCTTGAACCTTTTGCTTCTAAAGTGCATGTAGGGCACAGGTCACCCAGGACTGAATACAAAGTCCTTTGATACCTCCTCTTGACTGGATACGGTACTTAAGCCATTAAAATAAAGACGAGAGGTAGTTTTAATTAGCTGTGATACGATATAACCTAAAAGCCGCCACAGATGAATCCACTTGGCCCAAAGGTGTCTTTCTTACTTAATGTGGGCACTGAAAAAATCAGATTCACAGAAAAATCTGGATTTCTAATTTCTCTTGAAAAATCAGGAGACGTGTTGGCAACTTCAAGCCTATTAATTCCTTTAGGGCAAGAATGTGCTGGAGCTCAGAACGAGGGCCCATGGGGGCTCCAGACTGGTACGGTCAGCCCACCCTACAGGGGTGAACAACGCCACCTGCCACCCACCTGTTCCCGGACAGCATTTGAGTTTGAGTACCTGTATTAAAATACTGACAGCCTTATCTCTGGATGGTGGCTCAAAAGCAAACTTGATTTTTTTTTTTGTTCTCTCAGTCTGCCATTTCAAAACTTTCCGCACTGAACATGTGTTATTTTATAATGAGGAAACAAATCAATAGACATTATTTCTATGAAAAGTTATACTATAGACTGGAAAGACAATTTGCATGAAATGCCCAGAGGAAATGAGGCTCCTGAAATAAAGTTTTCACTTGCTATTTCCCCAGACACCCCAGGGGCAGGAATTCACTCTCTTTTGCCTTTTGGGATAAGGGTCCTTTATCCTGATTTATTTGCAGGAGCATATCCATAAATATATCCACTTTGCCCACAGCAAGGCACAATGGCTCTACTATAATAAAAAATGAGGTAGAAGCCAAAGGATTCCAGGCCCCAGGCAACTTGATGGCTTGTTTTATCCCAAAACAAATACCAGGAGAAAATCTCAACAACCCTAAATGAATTGGGGGTGTCTTTTGGAATTTCCTATATATGGTCATTTGCCTTATAAATTCCATGAAGTCTGGGACTACCAACTCTTCTTGAACAACATTCACCTCCAAAGCGTTGGGCACTGTGTTACCTACAACGATGCGCGCAGTGGCTCTGCAGGCAAAGATTCTGTCCCAGGCTAGCAGGAGGGGAAAGACACTCGTGGGTGACCTTGACCCCTGGCACCGCAGCTATCCACCATGAGAGTGCTGGAGGGAAGTCTGAGCTACTTTCAGCTTGGGAGGGGGAGCCCCTGAGAAGCTTCGCAGAGGATGTGGCACTGGAGCTGACCTTCAAAGACTGGGCAAGGGTGGGCTGTGCAAGGGAACGTGCCGAGCAAAGGGAACCACGGACAGTCAAGGAGCAGTTCATACCACCGGTTAGGGAGCGTGCAGCTCCCACGCCCAGCTCACTGTTGACTGCTTGTGGCAGCTTCATGGTAACAGCAAGCAACTGAGACATCCAGAGTGACATGCGCACTTAGTGAGCACTTAGCATGTAAAACACTGTTAAAACATGGATAATAATAACAGTAATACATAACTCATAAGGTAGTGTTTGAAGATGGTCTCCGTTAAAACTCGCACCAGCTTATGCTACGAGGCTTATTATTAGTGTACCCATCTTACAGATGAGGGAACTGAGGCACAGAGAAGTTAATGGCTTGTCCAAGGTCAACAGGTAGTAAGTACAGTCCTGGGTTCCTAACCCACCCTGGTCTCCCTTCAAACCAGACTAGAACTTGCCGAGAGAGGAGAGGGAAGTCTGAGGCCAGGAGAAGAGAATGAATGGAAGCTGGCTTGCTGCAGCCCTGTAGCCCAGCTGGCTATGTGCCAGACACCGGGAGGACACTTTGCCACGTTTTCAGGCTTTTAGGGAACAAAATGGTTCCTCTTCCCTTCTCCTTCTTCTGCTTTCCAGAAGAGGGAAGAGCGGGGCAAGGAGGGACACCAGGGGAGGCCTCAGTGTAGACAGTTTGTGGTTCAAAAAAAAAGGTTTCTCTTTGTAGTTGAAAGAGGGAGGTGGGATGAAGAGGAGAACGGAAAACAAGAAAGAGAAGGAGAGTGATTAGAGGCACTTCTGGGAATCCATCCTAAGGAAATAATCAGAGAAGGGAAGGGAAGAAAAAAGGCTTTTGCACAATGACAGTCATCAGAACGTTATTTACAATAGTCCATTACTGACAATGCAACAGGAAAGGACTGGATGAGGCAAACTCTGGAATTTCTACTCAATGGAATCCTTGTGGGCATTAAAGAAGATCATTATCATTAGGGAAGCTGCAGAACAGCATGGGCAAAGTGGGGCTAATATTATAATGCCAAATGAAAAACAGGATTCCAAATTCTTATTGCAATTATGTAAATATCTGCAATGCATATTGCTGGTAGGGAAGAAAAGGCACACAAAATGACAAAGGTGGTTGGCTTAGGGAAGGCGGGGGGGGGGGTCGGTGGTGAATTGCTCTCCTACTTTCCCCTCTTCTTTCCATATATTCTAGAACACTCTTTCTTGAAGTGTCAACTGGTACCAAGGGGGCTGAGATGATTCTAAGGGATCCCTGAACGTCTTAAATAATAGGTCTGCATTTTAACGATGTTTTCGGTGATATTTTTAGGTGTGCCAACCATAGTATGTTTGTGTTTTAAAAAAGAGCCTTTATTTTTCAGAGATACCTATTAAAATACTCATGGCTCAGATGAGAGTCTGGGCTTTGCTTCATTCAAATTGATCTGGGAGGAGGGGTAAGTGGGCAAAAGCCAAGAGGAAATCGCCTTGGCCCGGAGCTAGAGATCACTAGAACTGGGTGATGGGGGTATGGGGTTGCACTCTACTATTTCGTATCTACTTGACATCTTCTGTAAGAAGAATTAAACAAACAAAAGTACTGTATTTCCATGGTTCCCGTCCGTCTAAGGCAAACATGCCTATTTAATGTGGGGACATAAAGCTTCCTTCTAAGATACACAGACTTCGCATAAAGAACGGGTGCCCCGCCAGGACATAATTAGGTAAAGAGAAGACGTGGTGTTCTGCAAAAATAGTTGTGGGACCGTGGCTTAGAGCAGATGAACTCGGGCCATGGGGATGGTTCGGTTGCTTTTTAGGTCAGGGGAGACGCGGAGAAGCGTGCGGTCCCCACCCCACCCCACAGTCCTTCCCGTGCTGTGCGCCCCTTCCCGCCCTCCCCCTGCCTGCCTGCCCACGGACTCACCGGCAGCTATTCTCCCCTTCCACGTGCAGTGACGACTCGGCCCTTCGGAGGCCCTGGCGGGCGAAGGAGTGATACAAGGTGAGCGCCACGTCGCTCAGGCTGTGGGTACCGTCCGGCTCATCGTACACGTTCTCCCAGTAGGATCGGAGGCCCGGGGTGCCCGCAGGGTAGTTCCCGTACAGGTAATAGTCCAGCTGCCCGATGATTTCCTGATTCACCACAGCTTCGAATTTTCGGGCAAAGAAGGTGGGCCTGGCAGTCTGCTGTGCTCCGGGGCGGGGCGGGGCGGGGCGGGGGGAAGAGAATAAAAAGAGCAACGTCAGCAAGCGGGGTGGGGGTTTTAGGAGCAGGGCTCTGCAGCCAGCCTGTCTGGATCCCGATCCCAGCTCTGACACTTACTAATCTCTCTATCCTCAGTTTCCTCATCTGTAACATGGAGATAAGAAGAAGTGTGTCAGGAATGAATGAGTTAATATTTGCAGAGCATTTAAAGCAATGATGGGCACATAGTCAGCATCATTTAAATGTCCGTTAAATAAATGACATCCTAGATGTTTATAGTGGAGATGGATCTCAAAAATCATTTAGCTGGAGGTCCGGGACAAATACAGCCTGCAGATATATTTTAGTTGTCCAGCAGAATGTTTTAAAATTGAATTAGCTGGCAGTAGTTAAAAGGTACCAGAGTTCACAGAAACAACTTTTGGCTTCCCTTTAAGCAGAAATAGACCTGGCAACCCCAGACCCATGTTCCCAGAAGGGAACGACCTCCTAAAGCTGAAGGGCAGCTCTCCCTGTAGATATGCACAGACACTTCCGCTCACCTCAGTCCCCACCACTCCCTGTTGCCTCCTGGGCATTGCCGGTGATTTACAGACTCACAAGGAACAGCCCAGAGGTACTGGTCGGAGTCTCTGCGAGGGGGGCTTAGGAATCTACATTCTTAACAGATTTTTGAGGGGATTCGTTTGCTGAGGTTTGAAGAGAATGTGACACCGGAACCGGGGCTGCACACCACTGCCAACTGAATAGCTTTAAAAAAGTCCAGATTCTGGGGGTGCCTGGGTGGCTCAGTCCGTTAAGTGTCCGACTCTTGATTTTGGTTCCGGTCATCTCAAGGTTGTGAGATCGAGCCCTGTGTTGGGCTCTGCACTGCACGTGGAGCCTGCTTAAGAGTCTCTCTCTCCTTCTCCCTCTGGCCCTCCCCCACTTCCCTCTTAAAAAAAAAAAAAAAAAAATTCAGTTTCTGGAGTCCTTCCCCAGACCTACAGTGTTAACATCTCTGGAGATGAGGTTTAGGAATCTGTAACCAAAAAAGTTTCCTAGGTGATCATGAAGACCACTTATGTAAACCAAGTTTTCAAGGAAACAGAGGCCCAGAGAGGGAAAGGGACTTATCTAAGGTCACACAGTAAGATAATGGCAAAGCCAGGATTAAGATCCGGGGTTGAGGATAAAGAAATAAAATACTGGCCGCCCTGTTATCTACCTGCTCTTACCCTCATGCCTTGGTGGGGACTCACAAAGGGCCACGTAATAATTATTTCCAGCTTTGCAGCTACTCAGCTCTGCTGGTGTCCAGTGAAGCAGCCACATAGTAAACACAGCCTTGGCCAATGAATGGGTGTGGCTGTTTTCCAAAAACCTGTACTTACAAAAGCAAGATTTGGCCCAGGGGCCGTAGTTTGCTGACCCCGGTCTAGGGCTATGGGAACAATGAAAGCACAGCCCCTCCCTTGAGGAGCTTAGGGTCTAGTGCTATTACGGACCTTAAACTGGGTCTGGTACTGTTTTCAGTGCAGTGGATTAGTAACAGTACTAATGACAATAAAAACCGCTGAGCACACACTCTCTGCAGAGCACTGCGTTCACGTCACCACCTCGAATTCTTCAATCAACTCTGCAAAGCAGGCATGATGACCCCCATTTTATGTATAAGGAAGCTGAGCTCAGAAAGGGGAAGTGATATATACAGACTCACACATCCGCAGGATTCGAACCCAGATCTGAGGACTCAAATACTGCATCATCCTAGGATTGAGCTGCTAACTGAGCAAACAAACATCCTTGGTATTATTCTGAACATCCTCTCGCTTCCCTGCTTTATGAACCCTGTGGTGGTCTGTGGATGATAATAATAATATTCTGGCCCTCTTTGTGGTGGAGGGTCAGTTCAGTTCCCTTACAGTAGCGCTGAAAAGAGTCAGACCACTTGGGTTCAAATCCTTACTCTGCTACTTTCCAGCTATATAGGTCTTTGGGGAAATCACCCAGGGCCTCAGCTTCTTCATCCGTGAAATGGGTATAATCCTAGAGGTACTTAGCATAGAGTCTGGCACACAGAATCATCTGCTATTATGGTCTATTGTCACTACCCCCTGAAGCCTGCAACAAGAAGCTTCTAGATCTTCATGTTCTGGGGCAAGAGAAGTGGACTCGGGGGCCAGGCAGCCTCCGGTCTCTGCCTGTGATTCTCTATTCCCAGCTGGATCTTCTAAAAGGGCATGTTTCTAGATTTACCACTCTTCTTCGAACAAGAACTCTGAGTTCCTTACAGGCAGCAGTTTCTTGAGTCTAGATATTGGGGGATATTCTGGATCTTTGTTTACTGTGAAAGAAACAGCTGTGAGCACGTGCGAGGTCTCCGTGTTGGCCTGTTTTTACCAGAGACCACGATGCCCCCAGGAGGCTGGGGCTGGAACATGAAGGCTGCCCCGCCCAGGAGCAGCGCGGCTGCTTGCTCTCAACGATGACGGTCCTTTGCCTCAAGGGCAACAATTGGTCCTCTACAAAAGTGGGAATCCTTTTTTTTCCCTTTTGAATAGGTCAAATACTACCCCCCCGCCCCCCCCAACCCGCAACCCTCTTTCTGCTCAGCGGATCCTTTTTGCGTGGACAAAGGCGTTAAATGTCACCCAAGTTCATACCTAAATTAACATGGGTTTGAGGAGGTCCCTAGGTAGCTCTTCATCTGCCTCCAAAAACAGGCCTAAAGAAATACTTATTGCAGCAAGCGCTGACCAGGGTGCGAGATGTCAGGTGGGCGCCTGGAGGGAACCCGAATAACGAGATGCCACCTGCTGTGTGCTCTGCACCCATGTAGACACAAAACCAGGGTGGCCGCGGGGTCTAGTGGAAAAAGCCCAGGTCTGTAACTGGAAGCACCTGGGAGGGACCCCCAGGCCTACCACTCTACCGTGTGTCCACAGACAAGAAAGTTCGCCCCTCTGTGCCTCAGTTTCCCCATGCACAACGGGGATGATGCCTACCCCAAGGAAGCCAACGTCCACAAAGGGCCTGGCACACAGCCTGGGACAGAGCGGATCCCCACCCCTGAGCTTCTCAAACATAAGGAGCCCCCCAGTCACCTGGAGAATCTTATTTATACGCGGATTCTGACCTAGCACGCGGGGGGCAGTGGCAGAGATTCTGTACTTCTTACAAGCTTCCCGGCAAGGCTGATGGGGATGGTCTGGGGACCACATGCCAAGGAGAGGAGCCAGGCTCAGAGACCGGAAGCTCCATCTGCACCCTCCCCTGGGCGGTTTTGTTACGTGCCCCAGTGAGTCGGTGGGGGCACCTCAGCCTGGGTTACCCACCTGCACTGTGGTTCCCGCCCGCCCTCTGGGCTCGTGCTTGGGGAAGAAGCATACTATCTCCACGTGGTGGCTCTCGTGACCTCAGAGCCATGTGCTTAGCCATTCTGGGGCGTTCTGTCTGTGCTCTTGGCAGCAGGGGCGAGGGCATGGTGGAGGGGGAGAGGAGGAAGAGCCTCAGGGTGCTGGCCTAGAGGGAGCAGGAGGGACACTCACAGGGGATGGAAAGAGGCTGCCATCCTGAACAGGTCTGGGGGCCAAGGCATCCTCGGGGCTCACGGAAGCAGGTGGAGCACTGATCACCCCTTGCCCTCTGCTCTCCCCAGAACCATAAATGGCCAGGCCGCGCAGAGATACTGTGACAGCACCAATGTGTCTACCCCCTCTTCCTCCTTTAGGTCCTCAGAGCATGGTGTTTTCCAAACCTGGCTGCTCATCAGAATTTTCCAGAATCTAACAGGTTAAAATAAAAATTTCCGGACCTCACCAGAGACCAGCAGTTCTTAACTGGGGGTGAGTTTGCCCCCAGAGGACATCTGGCGATGTCTGAAGCCATTTCTGGTCGTCACAACTGAAGCGTGCCCCTAGAGGGAGTGGCCAGAACCCAGGGATGCTGCTGAACATGCAGCACGGTGCGGGACGGTGCCCCCCGCCGCAGAGACCGACCCAGACACCGTGATAAGAGGGCTGAGGTGGAGAAACTCTGCCCTGGGCACACTCAACTTTGTACCCAGAAATACATTCTTGACCCACATTTCGGAGAATGATTGAACGATAGAGAAATGGACGTGGAAACATACATTGGCCTGTGCAACCTCAAACAAGTTTTTGGACCTTTCTGTGCCTCAGTGTCTCATCTCTAAAACAGAGTAACAATAACACTATCTCTGTGTACCCATCTGAGGTTGACGGTGGGGGCCTCTGGGTCAATACAGGCAAAATGGTTAGAACTGCTCTGGTACGGGGGAAGTGGCCGGTGAATGGTGGCCCCTGCTCATGCCATCACCGTGAATACCCCCGGCCAGGGCCGGTCGCCGCAGGATAAGGCGCCACGGGCCGGCCGGCGGGCTCACCTGGAAGCGGTGGAAGTCCTGCGGCTTGAAGTCGTTGGGCGAGCAGCCGCACCAGTCCACGATGTGCTTGTACTGACACCTGCAGCCCAGCTTCCGGTTCCAGTTGGTGATGCGCAGGTTGTTGTCCACCATGGTGTCGCAGTGGGGGCTGTTCTCCAGGACCGTGTGGAAGAAGGACTGCAGGGGAGACAGGGAAGGGACTGGCCTGAGACCTCCTGCAGCCTCCCTCCCCAGCACCACATGACGGTGCAGGGACTCCCTTGGGAGGCTCCTCGGTCGTCTCTGCCAAGGAGGGTCAGCCGCCAGTCTGCTGTGACTCAGGGCACACGGGATGTTTTGTCCACAGGGGCTGAATTCCGCTTGGAAGGCCAACGCTCTGGGTGTTTCTCTAAATTGTCTTTCCCGACAGTCTACAATCTGATTTCAAGGTGTTTCCTATCATTCAGGACATCTTCTGTCTGCCTGGCAGAGAGGAAAAGTCCCTCCGGTCATGGCCACACATGGGAACCAAAAGAAACATGGTGACAGTTATCCAGAAAATCCTGAGCCAAAAAGGCTCATGCTTTGCAAATGGCCAGGTCTGAAACCAAAGGGATTCTAGTCTGAGATATCTCGAGAACAAAGACTGATGCTCTGGAATTTCACCCCTGGGTAAGGGAAGCCAGATTCATGGGTGTATCAGTCCCAGGGCTGGAAGGTGTCCTAGGTACCCCTCCTGCTTTAGCCACCGATGGGAGCTGGACTGCAGCACAGGGAGGGGCGGGCTAGGGCTGCTTGCTGTCCGTGGTGCTGAACCAGGCTCCGTTGGTCTCTGCTAATCCTAAGACTCTTGGCCTCTCTCTCCTAAGAATGTGAGAAAGAAGCAATGCTGAGAGTGGAGAGAGACCAGAGAGGAGAGACATGGTTATAGCCTCTGAAAGACTGAGAGAGAGAGGGAGGGAGGGAGAGGCAGATTTCTATTTGGACGCTGTTTTATAACAACCCCAGATACGAGGCAGATACCTTCTCCCCTGCTCTCTGCTCCCTAGGGGAAGCTGTTGGGGGATAGGAGTCTGCCTGTAACAAATTTATGGCTCAGCCTTCAGATTTATTCTAAAGTGGTTTTCTGATGGTGGTCTGGGAGAAGAAAGGGCAAGGCAGGGATGCTGGAGTGTAAAGTGCTTGTGTGTGCTGGGACAGGGTTGTGACAGACAAAGCCAGCATCAGGATGGGCATCTTGATTAAAACAACCAGAACCGCACACAGTCTCTTCTCAATGGGTGGAGGGCAAAACAAGGCTCCACCCACCACCCCCAGCTTCCCTTCCTGTGCTGCTAAATGACATATACCCATGAACCTGGATTTTAAGCTTGAATTGTCTACAAGCCCACAGAGGCACATATTCTCCATCAAGCGGTGGGGAAAAGTTCCCAATTACCAATTGCCCTGTGTCCTTTCATAATGATACAGAAATTCCCCGCAAGATAATGGATGAGGAGGTTATCGGCACTGAGAGAAAAGGTGATTTTCGGTGAAATAGGATTAAAAGCTGATTACCGAATGTGTGTGCAGAATAGTAAAACCGGGCCCAGTGATGGCAAGCCCATCATCCCTCTGGAGTGATGTGAGTGGTCAGCCCTACCAGCCTGGTGCTGCCCCAGATGTTGGTGAGGGGTGCGGGAACCATCAAATGAGGTATGTTGTCTTGTCTGGACTAGAAACACAGCCTGAGCCTGGCGCACTGCCAGGAAGAAATGGTAGGAGACCACTCATGGGAGATGTCACGGGCACAAGAGAAGTGGAACCAGCTCTGGAGTTTTCTGAAGTCAGAAACTGGGATGGAGGTCAATTGGAGGTCGGTGCAGGTCTGAGAAGGCCGCTGGCCTGTCAGTGGCAGCATTTCAGAACTGGGTCCCCACCCACCTCCGGATGGAGCGGGAGACAGTTCCAGAACGGTCTGCAACCTTACGCAACCAGGCTTCTGCAATGGAGTGCACGTTTCTGTCTCCTTCCAAATTCAAAGGTTGAAATCCCAGCTCCACAATGTGACGGTGTTAGGAGGTGAGGGCCTTTGGGAGGAGATTAGACTAGGAGGGTGGAAACCTCATGAATGGGGTTCATGCCCTGACAAAAGGGGCCCCAGAGAGCTCCCTCGTCCCTTGTGGCATATGAACGGTCGGTATGCAGACTGCAGCCCGGAACCAGGCCCTCACTGGAACTCGACCATCCTGGCACCCTGACCTCAGATTTGCAGCCTTCAGAATGGTGAGAAGTAAATTTTTGTTGTGTTTAAGCCACCTACTCTGTTGTACCTCATTGTAACAGTCTGAACTAAGATACCTTTCCTGCACCGAAGTCTGAAAAGTGGTGACAGGCTCCCTGGAGCTTTTCAAATGCTTCTAAAAGTCATCAGGAAATGCTGAGTCGTCCCAATGGTTGTCAGTACGGGAGACAGTGCAGGTCCAGCAGAAGCCCTGGCTCTCTGTCTTTGGGATCACTGGAATTTCCATTTGTGAATGATAAGGCCAACACTACTGTCTGTCAGGGAATGATAGACAAATATTAAGAAATCAGAAAAGGTACTCTTCATGTTGAAAAAGTGGGTATTACAGGATTGGTGACCATGGACGATCTGTCAAAAGTTGATGTGGGTGTGTCCTGAAAAAGCCAGCATATACAGTTGTGCAGGCTACACACTGCACAACCCTAATGGGGCAACATCAACACGGTAGGAATGAGAGATTTCTTTTTCTTTTCTTTTTTTTTTTTTACAAACATTTTCTGGAAAGTGGCAGTGAAGTGTCTTGTTCTAACAAGGTCAGCATATCATGATGATTTTTATGACCAATGGGAGCCAAGTGTCTTGAGGAAGGACTGCCTTTTCTACTTTGCACAAAGATGCCGTGTGGACTGCTGGTGGCAGTTGTGTGTCTGTCTATGCCATACACCCTCCATGCAGACCAGAGGGGGGCCGGGGGCTTGCTATGACAGCAAGGACCCTGGTGGCTGATGTAGTTCTCCACCTTCATCTGGATGTCTGGAGGACTAAGTATTGGATCCAGCATCGCTTTGCCAAACCTTCAGCAAAAATTCAGCTTCCGTATTCCTCCAAAGGCTAGAGCCAGCTCCTAACCTGCTCAGGGACTTTTTCCCTACACACTCACCTCAGCAGGAAGCAGGGTGTAGGAGTAAAACTGCTTCATCTTGGTCACTAGATCATCTGTGGAGAACGTCACATACTCCACAAACTTCCGGTTCAGCAGGAACCAATCCGAGCCTCCATCCACAGCAATGCCCTCCGGGATTCGCCGGTCCCCGAGGCGCCACATGTGGGCGTCACACTCCAGGAAGAGCCGGTCCAGACCCTGCTTTCGGATGAACCTGGGAAAGACAAAGTTGCCCTTCAGCCCAAAGGTGCACGGAATCCAAATGAAATAGCACAATCATGGCAATAAAAGCACGTACGGGGCACTTACTGTATGCCAGGGATCGAGCCGGGGAGGGGCTCTGTGTATAGTTTGTCACTTGATCTTCAGAAGTGAGGCAGGTCACTATATCCCTATGAGGCGGGCATTGCCATTATGCCCATTTTACAGCTGAGGACCCTGAAGCTTAGAGTGTTTAGGGGGATTTGCCCAGCACAAGAACAATGCAATGATCATCTTCTTCTTCCTTTGCAGAACTTTTGGAAATCACCTTTTCATGCCACGAATGCCTTGGCAGTTGGGTGAATACAGCCTCTGGATGCTCATCTCAGAATCATGCTCTTAAAGGCACACCTCAAAATATGTAGGATTACAAAGTATTTTTTAAAAACACCAAAGTTACGATCTGATAATCTGTGTGCTTTTGGATTCACACATTAAATACAGGATCACAAAAGATTTTTAAAAACACTGAATTCATGATAATCATGTGTGTTTCTTTTTTTTTTTTTTAAACACATCAGATAACATGATCTTGCGGCAGGTCTAATAACTACTGTAATTGTGCAGAAGAGGTGAGCGTAAATGATACTGAGAGGTATATGCACAACCATAATGTGATATGAAAATTTGTGATTCCTAACTTACTGCTAATACTGTTGTGGTGTGTTACCTCTATTTAGCTGGATTTTAATGAGAGTTTAGTGGAAACAAAAATAATTTTCTTCCCAGTCCAAGTGATGGAACCCTTGAATTCTCTCCATGAACCCCAGATTAGTAACTCCTGCGTTAGTGTGTGTGTGTGTGTGTGTGTGTGTGGTGTGTGTGTGTGTGTGTGTGTGGTGTGTGGTGTGTGTGTGTGTATTTGGGATTTGCAAGGCAGGCTGAGCAGAACTGGCAGCTCCTAATTTGTAGATGCAGAAATCAAACATCAAAGGGCTGCTATGGGTAGAACTAGAACCAAGCCTTCTGGCCCGAACCGTCAGGTCCTTTGCAGGATGAACTTCACACATACTGTGTGCCAGGCAGTGTGCTGGCCTGGTGTGGGGCAGGAAGGACCAGAAGGAAGGATGCTCCTGCCCCTCAGGAGCTAGTTCTCTCTCTGGGAGCCTGCTGTCTAGACATCTCCTGACCCAGGGATCTCGCTGCTTCTCCAGCTCATACAACGCAAGATCAACCATTTTAAAGTGTACAATTCAGTGGTATTTGTACGTTCATGATGCTGCGCAGTCGCCGCCTATGTAGTTTCAAAATATTTAAGCACCCTCCCCCAAAGGAGACCCTGTACCCGTGAGCAGTCACTCGCTCCATCCCTCTGCCCCTGGCCTCTAGCAACCACCAATCTGCTTTCTGCATCTATGGATTTACTTATTCTGGACATTTCATAGATTCAATCAGACAATATGTGGCCTGTTTGTATTTGGCTTCCTCCACCCAGCATGTTTTCAAGGCTTCATCCCGTGTTCTTGACTACCCAGCATCCACCCCTCAATTTTCTGGGACCACACCCTGACTATTCCTTGGATGGTCACCTATCTTCAATCTCAGTTGACCTGGATTCGTGCCCTACACCCAGCACCAGGGGTGGCCACATGACCAGGCTGGTCAATGAGAGTATTCCATCTGCCCCGCTGGATAACTGGTTCAGGGATGGGTGAGTAACTCAAGGTTAAGTCTGAGATCGGGCCCTGGATTTTTGCTGCATCCACCAGGAAGGAGGCTCTTCTTTTTTTTTAAAGATTTTATTTATTTATTTGAGAGAGAGAGAATGAGAGAGAGCAAGCACATGAGAGGGGGGAGGGTCAGAGGGAGAAGCAGACTCCCTGCCGAGCAGGAAGCCCAATGCGGGACTCGATTCCGGGACTCCAGGATCATGACCTGAGCTGAAGGCAGTCGCTTAACCAACTGAGCCACCCAGGCGCCCAGGAAGGAGTCTCTTCTATGGTGTTTTTGCTGGGAGAATGTCAGCCTAGAGCTGCTAACAGCCATCCTGTCGCCACAAATATAGAAGCTGTTTGATAGTACAGGTAACACAGAAGGGAGAGGGAGGGAGGGAAGGGGAGAGGGAGGGAGAGCAAAAGAGAGAGGGAGGCAGAGAGGGAGGGAAAGGGGGAGAAGGACGGGGGGGGGCGGTTAAGTCTCGGTGACTTTGCTTGAGATCCTGGATCCCACCATGCGTGACTCACCACCAGGCTCATCAGTAATGTGCTTAGGGCATTTGGAGATGAGATTCTGCCACTTGCAGTTGCAAAAATCCTCATACATTCCTCAGCAATTTAAACTCTTATCCCTACCAGGATGGATGTGAATGTTCTCAGGCCCCAGACAGAGCAGGCAACCATGGCTGTGGCACGTAAATACCCCTCTTCCACTAAGCCAGTCCACCTCCCTCGTCATGTGTCTACAGGTCTTTGCACCTCCATGGCAGATGTCATCACTGGCTTCGGATTAGAGTTACCAGTCTCCCCCCAGGTAGACACGGCTCTCATTAGAACTGACCTCGGATTCCTCCTTTCCGCTTTTCTCCCAGTTCCTAGGACAGCGCAAGGCAGTGATTCAGGAAAGGTCTATTTTTTTTTTTTAAGACCTTATTTATTTATTTGAGAGAGACAGCAAGTGGGGAAAGGAGCAAAAGGAGAGGGAGAAAGAGAGAATCCCAAGCAGACTCCATGCTGAGCGTGGAGACCGACGTGGGGCCTGATCTCATGCCCTTGAGATCATGGCCTGAGGAGAAATTAAGAGTTGGACACTTAACCAACTGAGCCACCCAGGCGCCCCTCAGGAAAGGTCCACTGTGATGGCCACACTGCAGGTTACAAAAGCTGGAGTCCATTTCACTGTGCTGGACATGCTGAATTCTACAGAGACTCCCTCCCCCTGAGCCTCCCCCAATCCACTAACATCCACTGGAGGGAACCGTGTGAAACCTCACTAATAAATCCATATCGCCAGTTCTTTTTTCTGCATAAGTGGGGGACCTGCCCCTAGACACTGGTCACCCTTTGAGCATGATGATGTAATACACTGAGTTCTCAACACAAATGGTAACAGTGTCATCAAAACATTGATGATGGTGAACAGGCTGAGTTCTGCTGAAAAGCACTTTTTTTAAAGATTTTATTTATTTATTTGAGAGAGAGAATGAGATAGAGAGAGCATGAGAGTGGGGAGGGTCAGGGGGAGAAGCAGACTCCCTGCTGAGCAGGGAGCACCGATGTGGGACTCAATCCCAGGACTCCAGGATCATGACC